GGGGGGGGGGGTTGGGGATTCTGGGAGGGAGGGCGAGAGGAGAGGGGTGTACAGTACCATGGTGAATGCGGATTTGGTGATGAGGTCCATCTTGTCAATGATGACCTTGTACCATCCGTCGCGGTTGTGCGGGCTGTTCCAGTTGAAGCCCTGGAAGACTATGTGCGGCTTCTTCTCGCCCAATCGCACCACCTGCAGCATGTCAACCGCCTTCACCACCACAGGCTCTGCACCCACACAGACACACACCCGACACGCCCTCGACATAACATTCACACCACACCCATTCCCTTCCTGCCTCTCTGCCGCTTACCGCAGGCAATGCCCTCTGTGGGCAGGTCGGGTTTGGCCCTCTTGGGGGAGCCCTCGCCGTTTTCAATCTGCTCGCCGCTGCCAGCTACACCGTCCTTGCGCCGAGTCGACTCAGGCTCGCCACCTGCACACACACACACACACACATCCATCCAGCTCTGAACTTTTCGTTGTGCGGGGGTGGGAGAGAGGGGGGGGCTACCTAGTGCGGCATCTCCCACAGCCAGGCTGGGAGGGTCGGCCGGCCGCTCGTGCAGCGCCGTGATCTGGTAGCTGTAGGTCTTGTCCTTGACGACCTTGTCGTCCTGGAACATCTCCCGCTGGTCGGGGGATGGCGGCTCGATCTTCTTGCTCCCCTCCTGCCCCACCGTCACGGTCACGCCACACACGCCCACGACCACGCCGTCCCTCCAGATGCGGTAGGCCGCGATGCGCTTGCCGCCGTGGTCAGCTGGGGAGCGCCACGATAGCTTGACGCTGACATGGTGGCCAGACACACACAGAGAGAGATGGGTATAGGTGTCGGTGGGGGTGGGGGCTGTCGGGTGCCTGCAGTGCTGTGCAGCCGCGTACAATTTTGAAGAGTGCTGGTCGACCTTGAGGTCTTGTGGGGCGGAGGGCTTGCCTGGCTGGCCGGTCTTGACCTGTTTGGGGCAGACACAGACAGACACAGACAGACACAGACAGACACAGACAGACAGACAGACAGACAGAAGGACAAGCCATGCCGTGTGAATGGCATGGTCGGACGTGTGTGGACAGGCCAGGCGGCTCGCCTACCTTGAGAGGGTCTCCGGCTCTGCTCTCGGCCCCCTGGATGTTGACGGCCGTGACGGTATAGGTGTAGGTGTGCATCCCCAGCACGTGGCGGTCGGTGTACTCGATCTCGTCCTCCTCAGCTGCACACACACACACACACCCATCCATCCATCCATCCGAACCGAAGACGAAGACGCGCCTGCGTGCATGTACCTACCGGTTTGGTAGACCATTTCGCCGTCTCTGTAGACTCTGTAGCAGCCCACCACCTCGGCCCCAAACAGGGGGGGCGCCCACACCAGCTTCACAAACGAACCTCCTACCTAGCAACAGACACACAGCACAGGCACACAGCGAACCGCACAGACAGGCAGATCGAATCGGTTACACTCACACAAGACCGGACCGACGGGCAGGCGGAAGCACATGCCATGGCATGGCATGGTAGGTGTTCTGGAGTGGTGTGGTGTGTGGTGTGGTGTGTGTGTGCGTGTGTGTGTACCTCCTTCTCGGCGAGCAGTGCAGGGCATCCTGGTGGGTCCATGATCTGCTCGATGCGGCCGGCCTGCAGCTTGAACAAACCCGGGTGGGGGATAGAGTAGTTGCGGTCTGACCGACAGACACGCACACACACAGACATCCGACATCCACACGTCCACAGGGGAGGAGTGCTTTGGTTGCATCCCCCTCCCCCCCCTCTCTCTGTGTGTGTGTGTGTGTTGTGTTAGGTACTTCCTGGCGCCTTGTCCCATTGGTTGCTGCCGGAGTTGGGCACAAATTCGATCTCCTGCACACCACAAACCACCAGACAACACACCACACCACACACAAACGTATCAGCGTGTCGAATTGTATGTGCGTTGTGGATGGCGATGGTTCGACAGACCGACAGACCGTCATGCGGGGCGGGGCGACGTACCTTAGCGTCTCGTATGCAGAGGTACCAGACCTCTGGGCCGTTGAAGTCGTTGCGTGTGCTCTTCTCGAAGGGGAGCCCCGGCACCTCGGTCCACTTGCCGTTGTGGTCCTTGTAATGCAAATACGGCTGATCGGCGCGCACACGTGGGAGGGAGAGGGGGGGGCATGTGTGTGTGTGTGCGTGTGTGCGTGTAGAGGGGAGGGGCGTGTGTCGTGTGGTGTGTGGTGTGTACCTGTTTCCACCCACTAAAGTAGACGAGCTCAATGCCCGGCCCGATGACCAAATCTTCCTCCTGCAGGACACACACACACACACACAGAGGGACGGACGAAAAGATGAGGGCCGGCCGGGGAGGAGGTCAAGGGCTGAGTGAGTGCACATCCAGCAAGCCATCGCATTCACACGCATCTCTCTCTCTCACAGCAGCCAGTTGCATCTTGCATCTCTTAGAAGAAACCGTGGCTGGCCTATTCTGTCTACTCTGCCTGGCATCCCTTCGTCAAAAAATCATCGCCCGTGTCAGTGGCGTCCTTGATTCGTGCAGCCGGCCGATCGCACTCACCCACACAGAAATGTCATCCCGATGCCTCCCCGTTGACCAACCATCATCAGACACACCAACCACAACCTCGTGGTGGTGGTGGTGCCTTTGGTGTCTTCTAGAACCACCCTGTCTAGTCACTCCTCCTCTGCCCTCCGGTCTCCTCGACCGGAAGGGCAGCGACAGCGACCACAGCCACCCCACGGCACGCACAAGGCCATCACCACACCTACTTACGTCCTCTTTGGGGAACAGAAGCGACGCCGAGTTCTTCCGGATGATCGACGGCTTGCTGCTCGTGCGCAGCAGCGACGCACTCGACTGACGCACCAGAGACGCCTTCGACTCTGTGGGCAGGGAGGGAGGGAAGCAGACACACACGAACACACACACACACACACGAGCGAGTGAACGAGACCCCGGTGTGTGTGCGGCTGACTGTCTGACCTGTGCGTCTGGGTGGCTCCTTGTAGGCGCCATGAGCGACACTGCCGCGGCGCTGCTCGGGCTGCTGGCCAATCACGCCGGAGGTCGCCATTTCCTCTTTCGAGCTCGGGATACTAATTATACGGCCGGAACGCCAGATCCGACAACCACAAGCACTCCTCGCCCCTCGCCCACGCCAAAGAACCAAAATGGGGTTTTCGCGCCCGTCGTGACAAACCCCGAAACCCAAAAACCCTAAGAACCCTAAGGGGCAGGATCCGCCGCTCTTGACGCAGTCAATGATCGCCGCGGGTTCACCCATCTAGCTTCGGGACCTGCCTTAGCGCCTCATTCACGAAAGGCAGGCCCAAACCGACTCGGGATTTCGGGCAACGCCCGAAACGGCATGCGAGCTTATGCGATTCCGTTTACTCTGCGAAACTCTGATTGCTGGAGAGCGACGATCGAAGCGCAGCGGGCATCTGGCGGCAGTGCGTCCAACACACACAGAGACACAGACACGGCAAGATGAAGCTGCTGGTCGGTTCAGTGCTCGTCTCCCTCTGCCTGTCCACCCATGCCTTCGTGCTGCCGAGGCCGCAGGGCGCACTGCGAGCATCATCCCCTTCACGAGCAGAGCCCTTGAGGATGTCCGCAGACCAGCAGGAGGGCGACAACCAGCTCAGTCGGCTCATCGGCGGCATGCTGGGCCTCCTGGGCGGCGCTGCTCTTTTGGTCGGCCCTGTGCCCGACGCTGAGGCCATCAGCAAAGACTACGTCAAGTCGCTCACCTACGAGCAGGTCAAGGGAACCGGTAAGGTGAAGATGAGCAATGATCTGCATACGGAAGATGAGATGAGAGATCATCAGCGTGTTGATGGGGTCTGTGTGTGTATGCGTGTGTGCAGGTCTTGCGAATCGGTGTACGGCTGCTGAGGGCACCGGTTCCATCTCGATTTCGAGCGGCGGCCCATATGAGATGGTCGACTTCTGCATGGAGCCCAAGGAGTTCACCGTCCTTGAACAACGCACACAAAAGAGGACAGGTCGGCACGTGGCCGGACACCCACGCGCCGTCTGGGTGGGCACCCAGATGATTGGTCGGTGTGTCGCTGTGTCCTTGGTGTGTGCTCACTTCCTCACTCAGGCAAGGTTGACAAGATCGGTCTGCCCACCAAGCTGACCACCCGGCAGACATACACCCTCGACTACATGTCGGGACCCATTGAGGTCAAGGACGGTACGAACCACCCACAGGCAGACAAACAGACAGAGAAACACACTCCATTGATTCGTCTCTCTCCCCCTGCCCCTGCCCTCTTCCTTCCCCCAGGCAAGATCACCTGGCAGGAGACCGACGGCATTGACTTCGCCCCCACGACCGTGCAGGTCGGTGCGGCCGAGCGTGTGCCCTTCCTCTTCACGGCCAAGGACATGAAGGTCTCGGCCGACAAGAACGGCGCCACCATCTCACCGGGCCTCGGCCTGGGCGGCGAGTTCCGCGTGCCGGGTTACCGCACAGGTCTGTTCCTGGACCCCAAGGGCCGGGGCGGCACCACTGGCTATGACATGGCTGTGGCGCTCCCGGGGCTGCAGAGCGGCGAGGAGGGCGATGAGGAGCTTTTCAAGGAAAATAACAAGGTGCGTGGGGGTCAGTGGGGATGGCGCTGTGGATGGATGAATGGATGGATGGATGGCGTGTCTGGTTCGGTGTGGTGCAGCTTTATCAGTCGACCACGGGCAACATCGAGATGGAGATCCAGAACGTCAACCCACAAACCGGTGAGTGAGTCAGTTGGTGGGGACACTCTGTGATCGTCCGTGTGATTGCATGTGTCGCATGGATGATCAGGTGAGGTGTCGGGTGTCTTCGTGAGCCAACAGAAGTCGGACACCGACCTGGGCGCCAAGGAGCCCAAGGACATCCTCATCAAGGGCGCTTTCTACGGACGCATCCAGGCAAAGTCATCATAGACAGACACACCAACACACCGTCCCCACCATCCCACTGGTTGGCTGGCTACATGTGTGTGTCGGACGGTTTGCTCGCCCGTTTGTCTGCGAAGTGAAGTGTTAGCCTGGCCCTCCACCCCTCGATGGTCTGGCCTGCAGATGCGCTGTCCGCAGATTTTTGCGACCGGCTGCTGTGTGGTTCGTTCGTTCATGTGGCTGCATGCGTGTGCGTGTGCGTGCGGGGGGTGGCGTGCTGTTTGCGGGGAGTGGGTGGATGGGTACATGCCTGCCTGCCATGCCGATGTGGTGGCCACACAACAAAGGAGACGTCTGGGTGGCTGGTTTTATCTTGTGTGTTGAGCTCAATTGACAATCGTGTGTGTGTAGCATAAACTGAACCGCGATTGACTCCCCTCAACCGCTCATCATCCTGGCCAACCTTTCCAACGGCCGGGCCCGTACACAGGGGACGACCAAACCTCTCCAGGTCAATGCGGAATGCGGCTTCCTGTGGTGGCCTTGCTGGTCTGTAACTGCTGCATCGCCTCCGCGAGCACATCTGTGAAGCTACCGCTCCCAGGAAGCGGCACTGACGGCGGTGGCGCAGGGGTCGGCGTGGCGTCCCTCGACGCCGAGTTCCCCAGTCCAGCGCTCAAGTGTGGGAAAAAAGGCGGCGTCTTGACGTGCCTCGAGCCGCTGGGACCTGTGGCGGCCACACACTGCTTCAAATCACTGTTCAAAGCAGGTACTGTAGCAGGTCACTGGCAGAGACTTCGACACAGACACCGTACCGTCTTGTGGGTGGTGTTGTGCGCAGGGCTCTCTAATTTGCTAGTGGCGTCTGCTCATGGCGAGCTGGAGGGGCTGGAAGAGCTCGTTGAGGACACGCTCGAGTCGGCCTCGACGCCTGACATAGCGCGAGCGGCGTGTGAGCGTGCTGACTTGACACGCAAAGGGCTTCGAATACATACAGTACATTTCCTTCCTTTCACAGGTAATGAGTGCTTCGCCAACCACCGCGACCCAGACGAGGTCTGCCAGAGCCGCCTATGCTACCTCACCTGTACGCAAGCCACACAAACACGCCGCACAATGAACGCAGGTCAGATGCGGATGAGATGCGCTGTGCTTTGTTTTCCTTTCGGTTCTGTCAGCCTTCACGTGTGCAACAAACTTCATAGGGGAAAGTACGAGGCGACAGACAGGCAGACACAGATCGACCGGCAGATGTCCCGTTTTGCATCTGTGTGCAGCATGCGAAGGGTGGCGCTCTCTCCCCGGCATCCCGGAGCCACAGGCGCCCGTTATCGACCCGTCACTAGGGGTCGCTGAGTGTTCCTGGAGGACGTCAAGGGCAACATCGCGGCGCACATCCCTGACGAGACTGTGGCGGCCGAGTCGCTGACATACTACATCCTTTACCGAATGCTGATGAACGTCTTCGTGGCGGCTTGTGTGCTGGGGCCGGATGACACCCTGCCTGAGCTGCCTGGATGGACGAATGTTGATGTCATCAGCCTCGTTGAGACTCGTAGGCGTGCTCCATGCCATGGCCATGCCGTGGGAGCATTAATATGATGTCTCTGTTTGTGGGTGAATGCAGCTGAGTCGGAGGATGGCGGTCTGAGAGAGACCCCGTTCCTGCACGTGCTCCAGAAAAAGGACAACAGCGAGCTGTTGATCCTGGCTCGTGGATCCATCACCTTCACCGAGCTGCGGCTGGCGACCCCTCGACGACCAGCTCGATTATCTCGATCTGCTCGAGGAGATTGGGGATGGGAATGTGGATGTGGACGCGTTTCTCGACTCTTCGTCGGACAGGCCAGCGGTGCGGGCGTTCAATGCCGCCGCGTTCTCAGCTGTCTATCCCGCCGTGAAGGCCATGGTGGACGAGTCGGATGCTGAGAGGGTCGTGCTCGGGGGATTCTCACTCGGTCGGTCAGAAGAGAGAGACAGAGTGTCCGTGGATGGCATGAGTGTGTGTGTTGTCCTTCATTCAGGTGGGCCGGTGGCGACCTTCTTGGCCGTGGCTTTGGCCATGGCTTACCCCGATAAGCGTGTCGACGCCGTCTCGTTTTCCCCCCTGCGCGCCTTCAACGATGCCTTCTCGACACTCATGCAGGAGACCATCAACGCGCGAACGGTTGTCTTCGAGTGGGACGCCATCCCACAAGGCGGCTGCGCCAAGGTCCCGGCTTGCCGCGCCGACAAGGCAACGGGGGAGATCGTCGAATACGCGGAGTGGCCGGGGTTGATCTTCATCAAGGATGAGGACCTGGGCGAACCGGAAGACATGAGCTCTTTACAGATCGTTCCGGCTCATGTCTGCAGCTACCTGTGCTGGGCGGTGCGGATCAGCAACACGACAGATCCCGTCAACTGGTGCCAGAAGGCGCCGAGGTCTGACGGGCTGGGGAAGGGCAACGGGATGGGAATGAGTGATGGCGACATATGCCCATTCTCGACTGAGTCTGTAGTCCTCTGACTGCATGGGGTGGGTGTGGGTGTGTGCTTTTAGAAGCAAACACATGTGCGTGCAAGAGCACGCGCACACGCGGCAGGAGCAGCTTTCCTGTTGTCTGTTCTACGCGCTTTTCTTTTCGCATGCTCACTCTTACAGTCATGCAAGGCAGGCCGCCATGGGTGTGCTGCTTGATAATTAGCAAGGGGTCATCGAGCCATACTTCTGTCTGTAGTCAGCCAGCCAGCTATACTACACCCAGCTCTGTAACTCTCTGTCTCACTCTCTCTGTTGTACTTGATCCATCTTGTTTGCAATCATCTAGCAAGGTCATCCATCCGTCTCTTTCCTTCCTTTTGTCACATACATGGCTTGTGTGTATGTGTGTGGTGATGTTGACCCTTCAACACTCTCGCAAGCCTGTGTGTGTGTGTGCAATTATAGAGGACACTTCGTTTGCTCTGTCAAGGAAGAACCTGTGACCTGAAGTCATAAATCTCGCTACCTACTTATCTACCTTTCTCCCTCATGTGTGCGTTCAGCAAACACACCTGCCTGTCTCCTCGTGGCACCGAAGTGAGCCATGCAATGCAGCCACCACCAGACTTACAAAACATGCAAACCTGTCTGCCTGTCTGCCTGTCTGTTTGCATTTCTGACGGATCGGATGAATGTGCACACACGCAGCGCATGCACAAGAAAACACAGAAAACACTTCAGTGTTTTCCAAAATTGCCGCTGGCTGCACCTCGATCACACTACTTCCATTTTGGTTAGCTAGGTGGATGGACGGATGGATGGCCATGGATGGATCGGACCTCTCTGTATGACTCAGTCTGTCTTGTACATACGTACGTGTGTGTACGGATGCAGCGCATGTGCATGTGTGTGAAGCAATCTATCTGAGCGAGAGAACAGTCAATCAATTGCAATCACATCGATCACTCATATCACCGGAGGATGGGATCCGTCACACCGCCGACACCTGTGAGCCAGGCCGCGGTCATGGCGGACACCTGCACGACGACCGACCGAGTGCGCAGCTTCGTCGCCAGAAGCGCCCACACGCTCGACCACTTCAAGCAACCGGACTTCGCCGCCGCCCACGTCTGCCTGCTGCTGTTCGTGTTGGCGCTCAACTTGCCGATCACCGTGGTCGGCTACCTGCGGAGTGCGGCCTTCGGCGTGCAGATCCCCGGCGCCATCATCTTCGGCATCCTCTGCGACACGTACGCTCGCCCCGCTGCTCTGTTGGCGTTCCTTACATGTCTCACGTAGTGTCTCTCTGTCCTCGTGTGGTGTTCATGAGGTATGGGTCTCGCTTCGGCTTCCTCCTTGCCTTCGCGTCGTGTATTCTGAGTTTCCTTACCACTGCCGCGGCCATCGGCCAATGGATGCTCTACCGTGAGACCCAAGAGCCGTTCCACCACCAGCCGACACCCAGACATGACATGTGTGGCTCTTTCTGTCTATCTGTGTGTCCACTAATCAGTGTCGGTGGTGCTATCGTTCTTCATGCACGGCCTCCAAGTCAGCAGCCAAGTGGTTAGCCTCCGCACTTCGGCCAGCGAGAGGGCCTTCCATCTTGGCCTGCTCACGCTCTCATACGGCATCGGCCTCGTCATTGGAGGCCTGGCAGGCGGGTTCATCGCCCTCGAGTTGAGATCGAACCGGATGGCCGCCCTCTTCTCCGTGGTGCTGAGTGGTGCCGCTCTCGTCGTGTCACAGCTGGCCATTCCCGCCATCGTCCCGACAAGTGGCGAGCGCTACGAGACGGCCACGGAGATCTTTGGGAGGGCGGCTTTGCTGCTCAAGGACACACTCAAGCACACGAAGAGCAGCCTGCTGCTGCTGTTCTTCGTGAGGACACAGAGAGACCTCTGCATGGACGTCTGTGTGGCCACATGGACGTATCGCTGCCTGACTGACATGTGTGCAGGGCATGTTCCCGGTGGTGTTGGCCCGAATGACATTCGCGCCAGCAGCGGTTGAGTTGTATCACCTCAACCAAATCCAGACAGGGGAAGTCACCAGGTGGGTGGAGTGAGTGGAGGAAGGAAACACAGATAGACAGACAGACAGATGGGATGGATGCTGTCCTGTCCACGTCTATCTACCTATCTATGTGTGTGTGTAGCTTCATCGGTGGCATCATGACATTTGCCGAAGGAGTGGTGGCGCCAGGCGTCTTCCTCTTCTTCACAGAAGTGACGGCCCTGCGGTGGTCGTTTGTCATCCAGGCAACACACACAGAGACACCAGAGAGGGTGTCTGTGTGTGTCTGTGTGCCTCAATCAGTTCCTCGGCTTTGCCATTGTGACATCGCTGGTGAATCCGAGTGAGACGGCCACGCTGTTTGCGCTCATAATCTTTTTTTTTTTGGGGGGGGGGAAAACTGTCATTAACCGTAACACTCGTCATCCCATTCATCGCAGGTAAGCAGCGAGATAGGCAGACAGACAGACAGACAGATGGCCCGCACCCATTCATTCATGTCAATGGTTGTCAGGTGCTCTCAATTTCGTGGCCATCATGAGTCTGATGACGACACGCGTGACGGAGAACGAGGTGGCCACCGTGATTGGCCTCAACGACGCGTCCTTCACCCTCCTCAACACGATATGTCCTTCTTTGGGCCTCTGGCTCTACTCCATCGCCGGCCTCCATGCCGTCTTCCTCCTCTGCCTCGTCTGGTATGTGCGCCAGCCGAAGGAAGGCTTCACTGGATGTGTGTGCGTTGTGTGTGTGTGTGTGTGTGCGGCATTGATAGGTCTGGTGTTGTCGCCGTCGTGTTCGGCGTGCCGTCAGCCCTCTACCCCAAGTCCTACCCCCTGCTCTCGGCGCTCGACGCACACCCACCAGAATAAACACACAGACAAACCCGACAAAAGAGAGAGAGAGAGAGAGAGAGAGACATTGACGGAAATACGTGACACTGGCAGTCGTGAATGTAAAAGACACAAGATGCCTTTGAGTCGGAATCACCTTACTCCCGCTTTCCTTGTCTTTTCATTCCTTTTCTTTTCTTTTCTTGCTCTCGTGGCCGTCTCTCTCTCTCTCTCTCTCTCTGTCTCTGTCTCTCGCTCCCCCGCTCTCCCTTTCTGTCTCCCCTGCTGTATCTCTAAGCAAAAAAAGGCATCCACGTACGCACAGCCAGCCAGACGCACGACACACACGCCCACCATTTTTGTGTCTCGCAGACCGTTTTATGTCTGTGTTGTGGATGTCTCATCAGTTAGTCAGTCAGTCAGTCAGATTCGGTCGGTCGGCCGACCGGCCTGCCGGGTGTGCCATTCTATATCTCGGGCGGGGCACACAGTCGATGCATCCACTCGCTCGTTCACTCTGACTCGGACAAGTGTGTGTGTATGTGTGTTTGTGTTTGGGTGCCTGTGTCTGGTCTGACGGTTTAGGTTAGGCCGTCGCCTCCTGCTCGGCCACCGCCACCGCCTCCGCCTCCGCCTCCGCCTCCGCCTCCGCCTCCTCTGTCTCTTTCTCGACCTGGTCAATTTTCTCCTCGGACGCTATCACCGGCTTGAAGATCCCGGTCTGCATGGCGTCTTCAGGGCAGCAAGGATCAGGGACACATCCTGAGGCACACAGGCGTTGGCCAGCGTCAGCATTCGAATTCATGCTGTCCTTACCACCTCTCCAGTCGCTTCCTTGAAGGCCTGAAGCGCCTTTTCCTCCATGGCCTTGATGTCGTCGTTGGTGAGTCGGTCGGTCACGGCCACCTCCTCCTGGCCCACGAGGTTCTTAAGCTTGGCGGCCTCCTTGTCGCTGGGACCACACAGACAGAGACATGAACATTCTCCGTTCGCTCGTGGGTGTGTGAGTGGGTACGCGTCCTCGTGGTCATTGAGCTCCACGGGCATTTGCGCAAGCGCGTCGAGCCATTCGCGGCCCTCCTCGTCGAGCTCGGTATCTGACAATTCGCAGAGTGACCGCTTTCCCGCCTTTCTTCAGCCTCCCTTGCATGTACCGTATCTCTTCATGCGGCGCTTTTTCTTGCCCTTTTTGTACTTCTTGTAAGAAGCGACGACGACCATCTATTACGAGAGTGATACACGCCCACGCACAGTAGTTCTTCCACTCACGGCTTCATTTTCTCGTTTACTTACCTTTCCGAAGTAGACCACCTGCACAAGCGGACATGGAGAGACAGGAAGTGCACGCGCTCTTTCTCTCCCTACCAGTTGTCACGTACCAATGCGCTGGCCACCGATCCTGCGATAACTGGCACTGTGCCCGCGCCCGTTACCGCGGCTGCCGTGCCAAACCCGACCGTGGAGGCAGCCGCAACGCCCGAGAAGACGGCTAAAGGATCGAGAGATACAGTGCGACTCAGCTGCATGGGTGTGGAGGGCTGACTGACTGCCAGAAGAGGCCGATTCAATGGCCAACTTGCCGCCGATCCCAAGCAGGCTCTTGGTGTACAGCCAGGCTCGTTTGCCGCGATTATTGAGCCAGGTGGGACACACAGCGTAGACCCCCTTGGAGTAGACGTTTGGGGCATAGCTGATTTCGCCGCATATAGAGATGGGTACACATGTGCGCATAATAACAGGTGTATTGATATCTGTTGAGGTGTCGCGCTCATGTCTCTTGCCAGTGGAGGAGCCGGTGCACCGGATCGAAGCGCACATATCCGGTGGTGATGGTCGGACCCTGCGTGCGACGGACATCGTCGATGCGAGAGAGAGTCTCAACACAGACTAAATTTCATGTCTCCTACGAACGGATCTCTTCATGCCCACCGCATTCTTGAGTGTGTCGGCTGTGTACTGGACGGTGCACCTGCACAAGCGGACGGTGCACGTACTAGACCTGCTTCCACCAGTTTTAACATACTTGAGCGGCGTGCCAATCCACTCTCCTGGTTGGAATTCGAGTGGTTCCTTTCCCTGGAGCCTGCGCTCTCTCTGCGTGCTCGTGACTTTCTTTTTGACCACCTCCTCGACAGCTGCAATCCTCTGCTTCGTGACGAGGAATCGTGGTTTGCCAAACTTGGTCTCCTCTCCGAGGGGGGCCTCTCCGAAAAGGGGGTTCTGCAGAATAAACACGTACACTACATACGTGAGAAGAGTTCTGATGCAACTCCGACCTCCACGATGTAGCAAACTTTTGAGAGGAGTCGTCGCTTCTCCGCCGGCGTGTAGAGGGGAAGAGCGGCGTAGTCGCCTTTCTGGACGTCCTCGCGGTACACTGCACGCACGATAGGAGGGAGGGGACCGGCCAGATATGTTTTTGCCGGCCGGGCGGCTGCTATGTGTCTGCGCATGCAGTCATCGTTCACCCCTTTCGGCTTCCTGAAACCGCTGTAGACGAGGCTGCAGATCTCGGATGACAGCTTTGTTCGCTTCAGTAAGGTATGGTTCCCGCTGGAGTTCGGCCCCGCGTCTGGCAACGAAGTCTGCAAAGTCCTGGAGGCCGAGACAAGAGGAGCTTAAGTCATATAAATGCAGTCAGCTTCTAGCTCACTCACCTCGTCGTAGCCGTAAGCCTCACGCGGGTGGCCCTTCTCCATCTCTTGTCCCTCAAAAGGTGAAGGCGGCGGTGAAACCAAACGGGGCGTTCCGACTGGCCAAAAACCTTCCTCACTGCAAAGGGCTTCTGTGGTGGACGTGGGGACCAGCAGCAGCAAGGCAAACAAGGCCGTGGCGAAGAAAGCGAGGAGCGACATGCGACTCACTCGAGGGGAGAGACTGAGACGGGTGACAGGAGCAGTAAGAGGGGCACGAAAAAAGACCGGTTCACTGGACCAACACCGAGACGGGTGTAGAGAGAGGCGCAGGAAAGCGGCCGGCTCATGCGCGCCGCTCGACACCCAGGCAGTTGAGATTCGCGCACTGCAAGCTTAGCTCACACGCTATCTCACTGACGGTTTTCCCCATGAATAATTGAAGCTTTGTACTGTCCAACAACACATAAAGGCGTCGATGGTAGAGCGCACGCAGGATGCGGAGGTTAGTTTTCCTCGCTGGACGCTCGTAAATTCTCTCCCGCTCAAAAGGGAGACCTGGCAGATCTATGGCTATAACAGCATCAAACACCGGATGATGCGCCTGCGCAGCGAGTCCGTTCTTCTCCTTTCCATTCTCATCGCCTCTGCGGCCTTCCCATCCATATGTGGCAGTGGTGCCGTCAGCGGCGCTTTGTCCACCACCAGCGGAGCCATCGCATCCATGCAGCTGCCGCCCGAGGCCACAAAAGGCCTCGACATGGTCAAAGACGTCCTCAACAAGATCCTCTTCAGCCTCCATGTGGAAGATATGGACGAATCGCGGCGCTTTGAGAACTTTACTGCTTGGTGTGAGGGGGAGAAGGGCCGGCTGGCGGATGAGATAGCGGATGGAGGAGAAGACATGCTGGAGGGGCTCAAAAACGACACACTGCTGGCGCTCATCACCGATAAGACCCAGCTGGAGACTTCTATTGAGTACCTGACCAACCGGCTGGACAAGATCTCTGTCGAGCTGGGTGATGCCGCCACTGCCCGCGAGAGGGATCACCAGACATATGTGGCGGACAAACGAGACAACGAGGGTTCGCGGGCTTTGCTGACACAAGCCATCCAGAGGCTGTCCGACACTTATGCTGCTGCCTCTCTCATCCAAGCGACAACGAAAAGGGGCGCCTCGGGCGGCAGATTCCCTGTTCTCCTCCTTCAGCGGTCATCCGCTGTGAGGAGAAGCCTGGGCATGCAGCAGCAGAGGAAGCGCACGAATCAGTGGCAGCCATACAGCTATCAGTCTAAGGGCGTCTACGGCGCATTGCAGGCCATCCAGGACAACCTCCAAAGGTGGGTGGGCCGCGCATATCCCCTGTCAGCTGGTCGGCGAGTTTTGTGTGTGTGTGTGTGTGTGTGTGTGCGTGTGTGTGTGTGATGCGCTGTGTGAAGGGATCAAGTGGAGGCGGATCGTGACGAGTCGACGGCGACAGAGTACTACAATACCCTAAGGATGGCCAAGACTCAGCAGAACGTGGCGTTGCGGAAGTCCATCGAACAGAACAAGGCCGCCCTTGCCGGTGAGAGCTGCTCTACGTGTCGGGGGTGAGAGAATGGGAAGATGTGTTCTGTCTTAATGTCTCTGCCAGACACCGATAGACGGCTCGCGCAGTGCAATAGCGACATCAAGGCGTACGAGAAAGAAACCCAGGAATGTACGTGCAGATGTGTCTCTCTTGCTTCGCCGCATCTCTCTTTGCTGCTCTATTGGATCCAGCATATCGTATGCTTGGCGAGGTGAAGGCCACGTGTGAGGAGAAGACCAACGAGTGGAAGGCGCGATCGGTCAGAAACAGGCAGATTGCGACTCTCTCACACGCGTGTGTCTCACTCTCTTTTGCATGTTCAGGAAGACCGAAAGAAGGAGAAGAAGGCCATTGATGAGGCGCTGAAGCTTCTGTCATCTAGGGGGCTCTTCGAGGGCAGTGACAGTGACGGGGAGAGTGATGAGCCGTCAATAGACCCCGACGTGGACGAGCACGGAGGAGACACAGACGACGAGCCATCTCTCGACCCATCCACAGAAGAGGACCTCGCCGCTCCACCCTCCCTCTTACAACGTGACCACTACATTGGCGGCGGCATTCCAGCGGCCGTTGTAGACCTCTTGAGGAGCCACAGCGTGCCCCCCGACGTCATCAACGCTCTTGCCCAGCACCCGTACCGGCTACTGGGCCTCCTGTCTCGACAGCCACAAGCCGCCGACAAGGACAGCACCACCCTTGAGCGTGCTCAGTTCAGCCAGGGATGGGTGAGGGAGGTCAGAGGACTCATCCGGCGGATGATCAGGGAGGTGGAGACGGAGGCTGCGCGTGACAAGGAGAAGAAGGCCCACTGTGAGGAGCAGTTGGCGCAGGCGGACGCCGAGATCCACCAACTGGGGTGAGGGGGAGGTCGGACTGGATTCTCGCTCTTTACATATATACTGTTCCGTGTCAGCACGAGCCTCGATGACGTCAACATGACACTTTTGGAGCGTCAGGGTGAGTTTGACGATGCAGATGCCGCCATTCAAGACGCGCAACAGGCAGGAGGGGGCTGATACAATTATGCATATACGAAGACGCATATGTACGACTGCATGCTGCTTGCTGTAGAGGATGGAGGACATGAAAGCTGACCTGGACAGCTCCATTGCACAGAGAAAAGCAGAGGTATTAACCATGTAGAGCGGCGGAAAAATGTGGGCACCTCGGGCAGGCTTGTCTGTGTCGTGGTGCAGCATGCGGCCTACATGAAGGCCACACACAATCTGCAGCTGACGATAAAGATCGTTCAGGCGGCCAAGAGTGTCCTCAGTAAGACGCCATCATTGCCATTCACCTCGCTAAGAGGACAATTTGGGTGTCTTTGTTTCTTTCAGTGAAGTTCTATAAATCGAAAGACACGACTGAGCACCACGGCAGTGCAACAACCATGTTGAGACAGAAACCACACACATGGAAAGGCTCAAGCCGACACACACCGGGCATGCAGCCGGTAAGCATGCACACAGCCACGCAGTATAGGAAGACATAAATCTCTATGGATGTGCGAATGACTGCAGGTGTTCGCCTTGTTCGACAGCATCCTGGACGACGTCAAGCGTCAGCAGCAGGAGGGCGATCTGGCGGAGAGCAAGGCAGCCGCCGGAGCGACACAGTTGCAGCAAGACTTCTCCGTGCAAAGGGACAACCTGCACACACACATCACCGATAAGGTCACAATTGAGGCATTCAGAGAAGAGACACACGGACCTCCACTTGTTGGCACATACAGACGGTGATCCGCTCGAGTTCAAAGGTCAACATAGCCAACAGAAGTGTCCAGCTGAAGGCCCTCGTCGACACGATGGAAGCCGCAGCTGAAAGAAGGGTGGGTAGAAGGGAAACAAACGCGTGAATGCCATGTGTGTCGCTTAAGCTACGACGGACTTACGGTCTGGTCTGTGTGCCATGTGTGTCAGCGGGACTTATCCGATGGCTGCAGAGACATCCTGCAGAACTACCCAACGAGAGAGGCGAGAAGAAAAGTACGAACGAAAGAGGGAGGGAGGGAGGGAGGGACAGGATGTATCGACCTTGGCTTGCCTTTGGTGTGCCTCCTGCGTGTTCTCTCCATTACGCGTTGCAGAAGGACCGCGGCGCCTATCAACAGGCGTTGTACGTCCTCAGCGGCGCAAGATACTGACGGCCGCGTGTGTCTGCGTCCAGTCTGTGCGCGCCAATTCGTGTGTCGATGCCCTCATAGATAGACCTGTCTGTGTGTGTGTGCCATGGAAAAATCATCGCTTCGCGAATGCCAGCGAAGAGAAGAGAGAGAGAGAGAGAGAGAGGAGAGAAACTTACATTAACCGTAACACTCGTCTGTGTGTCCGTGATACTCATAAACATACAGTCCCATGAGCACGCAGAGTCAAACGCTCACGGGGAGGAGGAATCGATCCCCGCCCCATCAGCATACCCCAGTCCCGCAAACCCTCCCCTCCCTCCCCCACGCAGACAGTAGCTAGTCGCACGCGCGAGGGCGATAGACAAGCGAGAGCGAATCCATCCAGACACATGACTGAACTCCCGACCCTTCCACCCCTCCTTCTCCAACAGCGCATGAGCCATGTGGGCGATGAACACGTTGGCATCGTGTCCCCACACACCGTCACACGTCACCACCAGAGGGCAGAAGGTCACGCGGGAGTCGCAGACGGCCGAGTGATATTTCTTCTTCTTGGCGGTCTCGTGCTGCTTCAGGATGGACTTGGTCGATCGGTTCTTGGAAGCATAAGACGGTGCGTCAACATCAGTGATGCAGATGTCGAACGACGCAGCCGCCTGCCGCTCCCACACGCCCCGAGCGACGATGTCCGCCCTCACCCCGCCCTCCCCCTCCTCTCCCTCCTTCAACACCACCTCCCGACGCACACCAGCGTCCCCCCACGC